TTTGAGGGAATGAGGTAAGAGTCACACTGATCAACAACATTTTCTGCAAAATTGTCAGTCTTGATTCTGGTCGTTTTTGTTGTATATGAGAGTGCAATGAAGCAGAAGTGGATATTGTTCAGCCCACAGATTATAGGGTTAGGATTTATAGGTCTACTAGCCATCTCCTGCCACGTTTTGTTGTGGCCCACTCTGTGCATATGTGTTTTGTGTGTGTATATGTATATATTTGTGTATATATGTGTGTTTGTGTATATATGTGTTTTTGTGCATGCATTGTAATGTATTTTTTAGCTTTTTAAGTCTCTTCTGCTGTGTTTTTCAGTGTTTTTATGAGTGATGGTCACTAGTTGGCTAGATAGCTGCATTGTGTCCAAATTTGGTATCTATTTGTCCAGTGGTTTTTGAGTTATGTTAATCCCACAAACATATATTTTTTATTTATATAGATGTTGTTCAAACTTTTGGATACTTGCTAGAAATAAGTTCCATTGTATATAAGACTAGCTGTACCCCGTCACGCATTGCTGTGGCCAACCTTCCCTCCCTCTTTCTCTCCTTCTTTCTTTCTCTTCCTTCCCTTTCTTCCTTCCCTTTTTTCTTTCCTTCTCTCCTTCCTTCCTTCTCTTCCTCTTCCCTTCCTTCCCTTTTCTTTCCCTTCCTCTTTCTCCTCTTTCTTCCTACTCTACCTATTCTTCGACTGCAACTCCCAGCACCCTCCTGATCGATCTATTCACCATCTCTATCCTATCTATCTATCTATCTATCTATCTATCTATCTATCTATCTATCTATCTATCTATCTATCTATCTATCTATCTATATCTATCTGGAGGATTCTTGGGAGTTGCAGTCCAGGAATAGGAAATTGGAAATATGCAGGGGTTGGCATGCTGTCAAAGAAATCAAAGGAGAAGAAAGCTTACACCTTGGAAGCAGTGCATTTGGATCATCCTCCTCTCCTAAAGGGCCTGGTCTAGGGGATGCTGGGATCTGTAGTCCGGAAGAGAGTTTGGATATTCTATTGTGTGTTTTGTTTGCTGGAGGAGTTATTTTTGCACATGCACTGTAGCGTCTCTTTGCATTTTTTGGCTTTTGAAATCCCTTCTGCTGTGTTTTTCAGTGTTTTAATTAGTGATGGTCATTCGGCCTGATAGATGTATTGTGTCCAAATTTGGTGTCAATTCGTCCAGTAGTTTTTGAGTTATGTTAATCCCACAAATGAACAATAAAATTTTATTTATATAGATTGCAGCCATGTTGTTTTCATAATTTGAGAATTTTTGTGTCTCATATTGTTTTGATACACAAATATCTAATGGATGTGTAAGAAGAGAAGAAGAGAAGCAATGAGATGTGAGCTTTCTTCTATACTTTTGTTTGGACATATTCTCATATTTCAGAGGATACGAGAGTATCCTTCAAGACCTTGTGGTCTTGATGGACTTTCTTTTATTCTAGATGGAAATGATATGCCTTGGAAGCGGGTCTGTTATGTGATTTTACTGTGTATCTTTTGGAAAGTTCCTTTGAAACTTTTAAGACATGCTCCTCATGTAAGCATTATCTACCTGGAATCTAAAGGAAGTCATGTTATTAGACTTCAGGGGCTCATAAAACCTTAATGTTTTTGTTCTGCAAATCTCAGAGATAGGAAGATGAGATAGAAAAGACTTTCATTTCCACACTTTGTCCTAGGCCCTCGAAAGAACATTGAAAATTCAGAAGTAATGAGTGATTCAATACAACATGGAAGTTATTACCAACGCAGGCATCCTTCCTTGTACCCTTTCATTCCAATTGTTCAGGGGTTTGGTTCCAATCAGCAACACTGGCCATGAGAGCTGTTCATCAGTGGAAAGTGGTGGAGGCTCCTTCTTTGGAGGCTTTTAAACAGAGGCTGGATGGCCATCTGTCGGGGGTGCTTTGAATGCAATATTATTTATTTATTTATTTCCTATATTTTTACCCTGACCTTCTCACCCCGAGGGGGGACTCAGGGCGGCCTCACAAAAGCATCATATGATGTCGACATCATAAAAGCAACCAACAATCAGTAATACATTAAAATATTAAGAACAGTAATTAAACCGGGTTGTTGTAGGTTTTTTCGGGCTGTATGGCCATGGTCTAGAGGCATTCTCTCCTGACGTTTCGCCTGCATCTATGGCAAGCATCCTCAGAGGTAGTGAGGTCTGTTGGAACTAGGAAAAAGGGGTTTATATATCTGTGGAAAGACCAGGGTGAGACAAAGGACTCTTGTCTGCTGGATTAATTAATTAAACCATTGATTAAAAACACGCCTCTTAAAATCAGAATCCAAAATCCGGAGTCCAAGGTCCAGTCTAGGTCAATTCATTGCCTAAAACTTCTTTTACTTGCTGTTATTACTGGTCGAACTCTTGGTCCCATAGCCAGGTCTTAAGTTTCCTTCTGAAAGACAGGAGGGAGGTGGTCAATCTGATGTCCCTGGGGAGGGAGTTCCACAGATGGGGGGCCACTGCAGAGAAGGCCCTGTCCATCCCCACCAGTCGCATTTGCGATAGCAGTGGGATTGAGAGCAGGGCCTCTCCGGATGATCTCTCCACAACCAAAATATCAGAATAATGTGCTTGCTCTTCAGAACTCTCAATCAGAACCTCCAGTCACAAAAGTAGGGAGTGGGCAAAGAAACTGGAAAGTTAGGGCACATGTTTTTGCCATAAAGTATCCAGTTAAGCTTTGTGGCGAGATGGATGTTTGTTGTTATTTACCAGTTTGTGCCAAAGCTAAACAGAGACCTTGAGTATCAGGACACCATGTTCCTGCCTCTTGGCAGGGGGTTGGACAGAATGACCCACGAGGTCTCTTCCAACTCTGTGATTCTATGTTAGAGAGAAAAAAAGGAAGAGAAGCAGTTTTTATTTTAATCTGCTTGTTTATATGTTGCTATGCATATGACCAAAAGAACCAAGGTAGTGACATCTCTGGCCCACCCCCTGTTTGGGTATCAGCCAGCACGCCAACGACTTAAATCAAGAAATTGTTTTCTAAGATCTACAGACACACTTGCTGGAACACCTCAGCAAGCGAGAGTCCAAAATTGACAGGCTAAAACCAAGAACCTCAATCAATGGCTGATACCAAATGAGAGACTCCCTCCTGGGCACACAGAAAACTGGGCGACTTGGAAGGTGCTGAACAGACTGCGCTCTGGCACCACAAGATGCAAAGCCAACCTTTAGAAATGGGGCTACAAAGTGGAATCCACGACATGTGAGTGTGGAAAAGATCAAACCACAGACCACCTGCTGCAATGCAGTTTGAGCCCTGCCACATGCACAATGGAGGACCTTCTTGCAGCAACACCAGAGGCACTCCAAGTCGCCAGATCCTGGTCAAAGGATATTTAATAGAATACCAAGTCTGCAAACTTTGTGTTTTGTTTGTTTGTTTGTTTTTAATGCAATACAACTGTTTGGTTCGCTCCTGACACGATAAATAAATATTTTCATATGCAAATAAAAAAACAGGCCAATGTCTTGTTGATGGGAATCAGGACACTCCCCGTAAGACTACAACTCCCTAGATTGTATAGCATTGAGGCATAGCAGAGTGAGATTGAACGGCATTAATTCTGAAATGTAGATGGAATCTAAGGTGATTTTGCATCTTGGCTCACTGAATCAAATATAGGAAGTGTCCAGGAAGGGCAGGTGGACTTTAGAAGAAAGAATACTATGGAAAAATGAGGGTTTTTTAAAAAAATCATAGACATCTTTATTTCATGTGGAAGTTTATAAATTACTAGCTGTCCCCTGCCACACGTTGCTGTGGCCCAGTCTGGTGATATGGAAAATAAAGGAATTAGAAAGTGCTGGTTTTTAATATATGTAATATCTTTCTGCTTGTGGGTAAACAGTATTTCTTGATGTTTCTTTGACAGTGTTGATGTGGAGATTGTCTGGTTTGCCTACTCTGGAACATGCAACATATCATTATCCATCTTTAGGAGTCCCTTTCAAATCTATAATACTTTTTCTGTGTGTGTGCGAATCATATATATCTATCTATATCTATGGCTGGATGGCTCTTTGTCGGGAGGGCTTTGATTACGTTTTCTTGCCCTGGTGAAGGGAGTTGGATTGGATGGCCTTAGTATTTTCTGTTGGTCATGGGGGTTTTGTGTGGGAAGTTTGCCCCAATTCTGTCGTTGGTGGGGTTCAGAATGCTCTTTGATTGTAGGTGAACTGTGAATCCCAGTGACTACAACTCCTAAATGTCAAGGTCTATTTTCCCCAAACTCCATCTGTGTTCATATTTGGGTGTATTGAGTGCTTGTGCAAGTTTGGTCCAGATCCATCATTGTTTGAGTCCACAGTGCTCTCTGGATGTAGGTGAACTACAACTCCCAAACTCAAGGTCAATGCCCACCAAACCCTTCCAGTATTTTCTGTTGGTCATGGGAGTTCTGTGTGCCAAGTTTGGTTGAATTCCATCGTTGGTGGAGTTCAGAATGCTCTTTGATTGTAGGTGAACTATAAATCCCAGCAACTACAACTCCCAAATGACAAAATCATAGTTTTTTGAGTGATGGTCACTCCTTGTGTTGTGAGATGTTTTGTTGCCAAATTTGGTGTGATTTCGTTCATTGGTTGTTTTGTTTTTAAGGAACTCATGATGCACAGAGCATTTTTATATATATAGATAAAGCACTGGCACACATCGGTGGCTGATAAGCAAACTCTGACATCTTGTGGAGAGAGTAGGCAACTTCCTAAGAAAGTCATATCCTTTCAGCCTTAGAAGAAGACAATTCCAATTGTCAGTAAACCTTATAGTAGGTTCACTTGAGGACCTGTTGTTGTGGGCCTTCAACTGATTTCAGAAGTCACTTGAAGACCCACAACAATGACCAAGGCACAATTTTAAAATTGCAAATTTTGTGATTAAATGTTAGTTTGAGGCTACTAGTTCTGTTGGCAGACTTATTCACCAGTTCCTCGTATTTGTTCCTACAGCAGCCAACAGAGCAGCCAACAGAGCAGCCAACAGAGCAGTCATGACGATGACACCTCCCGATTCCTGAGTCCCCGAATGCGTGACGGCAGGTAGGTTTGGGGAAGAAGGGAAAGGCTTGACTTGAAGGATAAGAAGACCCATACCCTACCTAAAGCTTCTCAAACTTTAGATGTGGGAGAGCAAACATTTCCTTCACCTTCTAGTGAACCAGGGCATCATGTTTGCACCATATCTCTGCTATTGTATTTGCATGTTTTCCTGAACTTAAGAGAAGATGGAGAGGTGAAAGGATGAAGAGAAGATGAGTGGTGAAAGGATTGCCCTCCTCAAATATCTTGAGGCTTGTTCTTACTTACTTAGGTGACCCCTCATAGCCCGAGGATGATGGTCCTCCAAGTGTAGTGTCTTGGCGGTGGGTCCGTAGGTGGCTGTGGAGCCTTATTCTTGATCCACATGTTCTCCCGCAGTGAAGACATCAGTTTCGAGGTGGAAGGCACTCCTGGTCAGGGTTGGCTTGACACTCCTTCCTCTTGGCACCTTTCTCCCTTTCTCCCTCCATTCGTGCCTCTTTGAATTCTGCAGCACTGCTGGTCACTGCTGACCTCCAGTTAGAGCGCTCAAGAGCAAGGCATCCCAGTTCTCAGTGTCTATGCCACAGTTTTTAAGGCTTATTGTAGAACAGTGTTTATCAACCTCACTAATGCCGCGACCTCTTAATACTGTTCCTCATGTTGTGGTGACCCCCAACCATATTCTTTTCGTTGCTACTTCATAACTGTCATTTTGCTACTGTTATGAATCGTAAATATCTGATATGCAGGATGTATTTTCAAATCCCTAATAACCAATATGCCCAAATTTGAATACTGGTGGTGTTGGGAGGGGATTGATTTTGTCATTTGGACATTGTAGTTGCAGGGATTTTTAGTTCACCTACAATCAAAGAGCATTCTGAACTCCGCCAATGATGGAATTGAACCAAACTTGGCACACAGAACTCCCATGACCAACAGAAAATACTTTAAGGGTTTGGCAGGCATTGACCTTGAGTTTTGGAGTTGTAGTTCACCTACATCCAGAGAGATGGTGGATCTGGATCAAACTTGGCACGAATACTCAATGTGCCCAAATGTGAACACTGGTGGAGTTTGGGGAAAATAGACCTTGACATTTGGGAGTTGAAATTCCTGGAATTTATAGTTCACCTTCAATCAAAGAGCATTCTGAACCCCACCAATGATAGAATTGGGCTGAACTTCCCATACAGAACCCCCATGACCAACAGAATATACTGTGTTTTCTCATGGTCTTTGGCGACCCCTCTGACACCCCCTCGTGACCCCCCAAGGGTCCCAACCCCCAGGTTGAGAAACACTGTTCTAGAAGGTAGGACTAGGACTCATGGTTTCAAGTTATAGAGAAGTCAATTTTGATTGAACACGAGAAGGAACTTCTTGACAGCAAGAGAAAATCATCAATGGAACTGTTGCCTAAAATTTTGGGTCTTCCTGGCATGCTAGAACTCTGAATTGATCCAACGCAACCCTAAACTAAAACCCTGAAACTAAAGGAGGCTAATGTTTAATAAAAATATTGCATAGGTTTCTATTTCTTCCTAAGTGACCATAAGGGCCACTCCCACTCTCCCAGATGAATAGCTGTAGAATATCTGGATGTCTTTCCTCACTCATGTGTAAACTTCCCATTCATCTAGAAATAACCTAATGCCTGTAGGGGGGCTATTGTGCAAAGTCAGTTACCAGCATAAAGGCAATTATCGTTGCAGGTGGGTTTTATTTAGCATAAATCTCAAAAATGCCAACCCTGACTACCAGGAAAAATGAAACCACAGACTAAAGCAATTGTGTAGATGTCAAGTGCTTTTGAAATACTATCGATTTGTGCCAAGTATAATAGCAGCAAGTCTGGTTATATTCTGAGAAGCAAATTACTCGAGAAGTTAATCAAGATCCATGAGAAATGTTGTGGGGGCTCATTTTGACTAGTACAAGGAGAAGGCAGTGCCGTGTGTGTGGGACAAATAAATATTAATATTTTTCCCTAAATAAAAGCAATTTCATCCAAGCCACGTCCAGCTGAGATTCATGAGTGAATTGTGCTGGGATAAAGAGGCATGTTGGGGAGATTCACACTCTGGGTTCGTCCACTTAACCAATTGCCAGAAGGTCATGGGTGACTTTATTGAGTGCTGTCAGAGTTGCTGTCAGTAAGGCCTTCGACAAGGTCCCCCATGACCTTCTGGCAAACAAAGTAGTCCAATGTGGGCTAGGCAAAACTATGGTTAGGTAGATCTGTAATTGGTTAAGTGGACGAACCCAGAGGGTGAATCTCCCCAATGCTTCCTCTTCATCCTGGAAAGAAGTGACGAGCGGAGTGCCGCAGGGTTCCATCCTGGGCCCGGTCCTGTTCAACATCTTTATTAATGACTTGGATCATGATGATGATGATGAGGAAGAGGAGGAGCCCCTAGTGATGCAATAGGTCTTGTGCCGACAGAATTGCTGACCAACAGGTCAGCAGTTCGAATTCAGGGGGAGTGGGTTGAGCTCCCTCTGTCAGCTCCAGCTCATGCGGGAACATGAGAGAAACCTCCAACAGGATAGTAAAACATCCAGGGATCCCCGGGCAACGTCCTTGCAGATGGCCAATTCTCTCACAACAGAAGTGAGTTGCAGTTTCTTAAGTCGCTCCTGGCACACACAAAAAATGGATGATGATGATGATGATGATGATGATGGCCCTGAATCCCCCCTCGGGGTTGAGAAGGGCGGGGTAGATGTATACGAAATAAATAATAAATAAATGGCAAACAGGGAGATATTTTATGAAAGCAAAGTTATGTACAGGATCAGCAAGCAATTGCTTGTTGACTGTGCTGCAACTCAAGAGTGTCGCTGTAACAATGTATTTGCATAAAATGAAGGTGATGTTTGTTTGACACACTTGGATATATTGTGTTAAGACACAGTTTGTAACTTGCCTTTGTATTCATCGTCATAATAAAAGTAAATATTTTTTAAAGATAGCATTCCTGCCAGAGTTGCTGTCATCTAGTTTGGTGATAGGTTTTCTTGCTGATCACCTGACTATGTGGAAGGAAAAGGAGAGGCACAATAAGTCCTATGTGTGTGTGTGTGTGTGTTTTGTTCATTTGTAAATAAGCTCAAGTACAAAACTAGTGGAAAAGGAGATTGACCTTTGCCTCTCTTTTTTTTTTTGCGTTATTATATTAATAAATAGCTGTACCCACCACACGTTGCTGTGGCCAACCTTCCCTCCTGCTTTCTCTCCTTCTTTCTTTCTCTCCTTCCTTCCCTTTTTTCTTTCTTTCTTTCCTTCTCTTCTTTCTCTTTCTCTCCTCTTCCTTCTCTTCCTCTTCTCTT